CTGTAATTCTCACTCAAACAAGTTATGTGCGTGGCTGCTGGGCTAAAGCAGGCAGGCCGCAGAGCTGTGAGACCCGACCCCTTGCTAACCTGTTCACACCCTCTCGCTGCATTTTGGCTTACCTGTGGCACATAATGGCATTATGATTATGATGACTTGAGGGAGCCTTTGTCTGCTCCGATATTTTCAGAGTGGTTTATGAAAACCACCGGCACTTCATTCTATTCCGACCTCATACCTCCAGCCTTTTCCTCACATCCTTCCCTGTGCACCATCACAGCCATCACAGGTGCCCACGTACACGGACGCTGCTGAGAAACCGCGGACACTTGATAAATGATGGCCCATGCCACCCAGTGGTGCCAAGTCCACGGATCTGTGTTTATGGTCAAAGCGCACTTACTTGCCATGAAGAAACCCAGTGGTAGAATCAAAGGGCCTAAAATAAAATGCAAACTTTGTGAGTGCGTGTGTGCAGAGTTTGCATTTTATTTTGAGTGTGTGTGTGTGTGTGTGTGTGTGTGTGTGATTCTCTTACCGAATGTGGCTCCGGCTCTCTCTTCCATTGGCAGCATTTACGAGAGTTGACTTTGTGTGATTTGTGTAAATGGCATTTAACGCGTCATTGCACCTGCTGAGGACCAGTGGGCCTTCCCTCTTTGCCCGTGGAGGCTCCTTGACAAGGAAATTTGGGCATCTCTGCATACGGGACAAACTCTGCACGGGAGGGCTGTTGATTTTGGTCACGTCACTTCCCTTTTCTAGCCTCACTTCCTTTGTCTGTGGAGCGAGAAGGCTGGGCTAAACCAAAGATCCTTGGTTTCCAATTTCTGAGAATATAAGATTAATTGTAGCCACCAAGGAGGTACCATGGCTGCCCGAATTTGTACAGGGTGTCCCCCCAAAATGTATACACACCTTAACAGCTGATAGCTCAGTTTTGAAAATGAAATGTATTTTAATGAACACTGCCTGTATCATATTCGGGGGGTGTGTACGTTTCTTTGGGACACCCTGTATCTAACAGACTCGGTGACGGGGGCTGGTGCCATGTCACTCATGTGCCTTCTCTCCACCCCCGACCCCTCTTCTAGTATAACGCGGACAAGGCCATCGTGGACAGCGGCACCACGCTGCTGCGCCTGCCCCAGAAGGTGTTCGACGCGGTGGTCGAAGCCGTGGCCCGCGCCTCTCTGGTGAGTCTCGGGACGCTGATGGACCTCGGAGGCTGACAGGTCACGGCCACAAGCTGGGCAGTGCACTCGACGGGTCTCCTCTGAGGGCTTTGAAGGGTTGTTTTGTTTTTTAACTATTACCTGTTAAGCGCACACTCTTACTCTTTGATATTAACCAGCAAACAATTCTCTCATTTTAACCCGAGAAGACCGGGATCCTAAGGTGCGGGGCCTTTTTTGTATTTCAAGTAATAGTGTCGTTGGTGTAATACATTTTTTTAATCTAAGAAAAAAATTGGTAATATATTTCATCAAAGTAACTAGTAAACCAGGAACACGTTTGTAGCCTTTGAAACTAAAGAAATAAACCAAAAGTCATACTCCTAGGCCTTCCTTCTGGCTAAGCTGGGATTTTAATTCCGTAAAATATGTGATTTACAGAAGACAAAGACCAACTGGCCAGATAATAATTGTTGTATGGTTGTGCTCAGCAGCACAGTCGAAGTCACGGCCAAGGAAAACATGCCTCTTGGGGACCTGGCTGACGGTATTCCCAGTGCGGCCCCAACTTTCCAGTTCGGGGCATCCACGTGGACCAGGGCGCTTTTATAAAAGGAGGAACTGTGTTAATGCCGGCAGGTCCCTCGTGAGCAGTCCAGGAGGACACCCTCCATGGGTGAAGAGATTGCAGGATATTTTCACCCTAGGAGGGAGGGAGGGAGGGAGCGCTCCTGCTCCTGCGGTTAAGTAGCTCGTGACACTCGCCCTGCATTCATCCAGTCATGCCACGGTGTCCTCCATTCTCACTCCGCTTGATCTCCACGGCACCCTTGCTTCCGTGCCTGGGCTTCCATCACCTCTCCTCCCTGCAGCTCTTTCCACCCCTGGGGTTTTGCTGGCCCATGGCTCTGGGTGGGTCCTAGGCTCCCTCTCCCCCTGTACTCTCTCCTAAGTGGTCCCATCCACAGCTATGTCACTTCCCCCAGAGTCACTCCCATCCGTGGCTCTGGAATTCAGCTTTCTCGCCCCCGCTCGGCCCCTGGAGTTGGACTCGGAGAACAGGTGACCTGCACACGTCCCACTCGGATGCCTTAATGACGCTGCGTGCCGCAGAGCTCAGGTCTCTGATGAGTGACTTCTGATGAGGGACAGTGGTGCCCCTGGTCCTCTCCGGCCTGTCTCATGCCCCTTCCTGTCCTCTGCACCAGCCTTCATGGCTGTTGTCTGTGTCATCCAGTTCGGGCAGGTCTCGTTCTCTGCCCTCCTTCCCCTACCGTAGGTCACCAATGCCCACTGGTCCCTCAGCTCAGCTCAGGTGTTCCTACCCCCGGGACGCTCCCCTGACAGACACCCCCCTTCCTCCCGTCAGTGCTCTCCTAGCTCTGCCCCCACCATGCACTCCTGCAGCGGGCATATGAGCGGGACTCGGCCCTGGAGGAGGAACCTCCCACGCGGTCCTCCGTTTGGGACCTGCAGGCACAGGGCAGGCCTGCTCGGGTGCCCTCGCCGGTCCTGGCAAGATGGCTTTGCTGGGACTTGCAATTAACTCACAGATTCAGCAGCTAGGAGCATGCATGGGTGCCATCACCCTTCCAGTCCCCTGATGAGAAGCACAGGGGGACGTTCTGTGTTCCTGCCCGTTCATATTCCCTGCAAATCTTTCCCGAGTCTCTCTGATAGGCTGCAGGTTAGGACCACAAGGGGATGCACACAGCAGGCCTGTGTCCTTAGGGGACTCAGATCCCAGTGCAGGAAACAGACGTTAACCAATCGCAATAAATGTAAAACTGAAACTGTTACAAGGAAGCGGACGCACCGTGGGGACCAGGGTTATGCGGGGGAGTCAGGGAGGGCTTCCCGGACGAGATGTCATCTGAACTGAGATCTGGAAGGGAGAAGATGCTCCAGAAGAGCAGAGAGCTCACAAGGGGCTCGGCACCAGGAGGAAGCTTGCTGGGCGCAGAGATTCAAAGGAGAGGCGATGCCCAAAAGGTCCCTCGCGTCCCATTTAGGGTCTGGTATCTCTTTTAAAGGGTCATTGCCAACTACTGTGTTATCTTGGGCAAGTTATTTCACCTCTGTGCTTTGGTTTCCTCATCGGTGAAGCAGGGGGGATAACGTTACTGCAGTGATGGCCGTGCTTGAGGGTTACAACAGTGCCTAATGCGAGTGAGTGCTCCACGTGCCTCCGTGTTTTAATAATTGCTGTTTTGCCGTCGCCGTAATCTCCCAGAGGCTGAGGGCTCGGCTGCACCGTCCAACTTAAACACTGTTGATCCCTGTGGGCATCGGGCAAGGTGACGAGAAGGGCCGGGAGCTGCTCCCTGTTGACTCGCCAGGCTAGTCATTGTTTCTCTCCCGATCGTGTTTTGTCTAGATTCCAGAATTCTCTCATGAATTCTGGACTGGGTCCCAGCTGGCATGCTGGACGGATTCCGAAACACCGTGGTCTTACTTCCCTAAAATCTCCATCTACCTGAGAGATGAGAACGCCAGCAGGTCCTTCCGCATCACGATCCTGCCTCAGGTATGCGCGTGGACTTGTGCTCTTCTCTCTTGAATGTGTAACGTGCAGAAGGAAAGCAGTTCCTGCATAATGGGTGTATTTAGATCCCACACCTGTGCTAGGTATCGCCGGTCAGACACACAGTGGTGCTGCGTAACAAACAGCCGCAAAATGCAGCGGCCTTCATCGGTGAGCGTCAGTTCCCGCTCAGGAGCCTGGGCGGGTCTGCGGAGCTCGCGGGCTGGCTCGCCTGAGTCTGGCCAGCTGAGGGTTGGCGGGGTCCAGGTGGGCCTTGGCCAAGGTTGGCCTTGGTCTCGGATGGCCTTGGTCTAGGGTGGCCTGGGGAGGCCTCATTCACTCTGGTGGCGAGGTCCGTGGAGCGATGGGCTGTTTGTTGCCTCACCGCCCAGCGGCTGGCTCATGCGGTGGAAACAGGGTTCTGAGAGAGGAAACTCAGGGGCCCCTGCGTCTAGGCCCAGAGCTAGCCGCCGTCTCTTGCACCCTGCTGCCCACACCAGGCCAAGGCCAGCCCAGATTCCCGGGCAGGGAAGCAGACCCATCTCCCAGAGGGAGGAGCTGCAGTCACATCACAAGGCCGTGGCTCCAGGGGAATCAAGAACTGAGGACATCTTGCAACACCTATCACAGCACCAATATATGGGGTTTTGCTACTTACTTTTACGTAAAGAATAAAGCTGGATTCCCAGAGAGGAAGACGTCGTCTTTCTCATAGTCAGTAAATCATTGAACCCTTCTTCATCCCAAGCTTCTAAACCGACCGACCTCTGTCTCCTTTAGCCATGTTCTCACCTCTCCCTCAACCTCTCCTTCCCATACCCCCCTCTCGTGTCACTCAGGAGCCTCCAGGGTGCCCCCCAGGCCTCCCTCGTCACCCCTCTGTTTTCCCTTTAAAGCTATGGCCAGATCAACCTTCCTAAACCACAGCTATAACCCCACTGTTTCAATGCCTCCGGTGGCCGTCGCGCTGGCCCCTTCCTTGCTCTCCAGCCTGCTTCCCGCTGCGCCCTGACTCTCCCCTCGTGGGCCACGGCGCCTGCTCCCGTCTCCTCACCTTTGCTTCCAGCACTCCCCACCCCCGGCCC